TTCAGTTGGCAACACAGCACCAGCACCACCAGCACCACCAGACTCGTGGGGTGGTCCAAGCATCATGGTGTGGGGTGGAATTGGTCTTGCACAGAGGGTCGTCCCTGTGGTCTTCCAGAACATCGGTCCAGGGAGAGACAATGGTGTCACAGCAGCTCGGTACATTGATCAAGTCTTGAGACCACACGCCATACCTCATTTGGCACGTCGCCGCAACCACGAGTTTCGGCATGATAACGCCCGAGCCCACACTGCGAGAGAACAAGAGACTTCCTCTAGCAGAATGGCATCAGAACCATGCAGTGGCCTGCCCTCAGTCCCGATTTAAATCCCATTGAGCACCTGTGGGACGAGATTCAAAGACGGCTGAATGACGTCCGACCAAGGCCGACAACTGCAGCTGAACTGCGTCAGGCGTTCCTCAGAGTGTTGACTCAAGTGCCTATGGCCTTCATCAACAGCCTCATCCATTCCATGTATCGACGTTGCACGGCAGTCATCAATGCACATGGCGGACACACGAGATACTGACTTGTGATGCCATATTATCAGATACTAGTGTTTCACTTTTAGAACATTTGACACTTTAATTTCAACCTTGATGATCAATTTTGCAAAGTTTCATCTTTTTAATTTGTCCCAAAGTATGTTTACAGTGTTTGGTCAAATAAGGTTTCTCATATATCTGTCCATGGTGACGCTTCTTTTGCGGTTCAGTATATGTCTACAAACTCTACAATATAATCCCAATGGAACCCAGAACAATCCGGACTTGCCAAATCTTTCTAGACTTTTGTTGGGTTAATTTCTTAATTTATTCTGAAGGGTCGAGCAGACAGACAAGGTTTGGGGAAGCGCTGGGGGTAAATAACCTAGCGCTTCAGCATCCCTTTCGGACAACGTCTCGACGTTGCATTAACTTGTATGTGCGCCGGGTATCCAATCCAAACATTATTATACAAACTGTTGTCTCCACTATTCATATATAACACTTATGTGACAGCGGTAGAAACATTCGTATGATCTGTGTGAATATGATATACACATACAAGTTGAAGTCGCTGACCCTGCCGGTACATAATGCAACTACACTCTTACTTTAAAGTTTTCGAGGTTGCATGATTAGAAATCATATTCCGACTGTCACTTTCATGATCTGGTAAGCGACGCTCTGATTGGTCAGATGAAAGGTCGTTCTGACGTGACCCCTTATGGGATGTCCTCAGATCTTTGTTTAGCGGCAGCGAGAACTAAGATCTGATTTTAATGAGATTGATAATAAATATACATTTTTATTGCCAAACATCCAGACAATCAAGTCTGTAAATAATCGAGGCTGGACCAGACAATCCAGTGATTGATATCATGAGCATCGATCCACGCAATTGAGATCGATGACATGCCAACCAAGTCAGCGAGCCTGACCACCCGATCCCGTTAGTCGCCTCTTACGACAAGCATAGTAGCCTTTTACGGCAAGCACGGGTTGCTAAAGACCTATTCTACTCCGGATCTTCACGGGTCTTTTAAAATATGAACCATCCTCTATATTTTTGTGATGAAATTGATAATTTATACTTTTCACATTTTCCGGTATAATATCGACGTCTGTCCCCTGGTTTCCATCTTGTATACATGTATATACCGAGCCACTGTCAAAACGCACATTCAATCCTTAAGTAATATTTAGCAAAATGGCCTCAACAAATGAAATTAAGTTGTTCTGGGTATTTTGGCTTGTGTTAATCACTTCAATGTCCTCGTGTGGGTTCTTTTCTGATTTCGCTTTGGTGATTGTGTGTTTTCACACTATACAAGTATAATATTATATATTATTTCATTGATATGTTCTTCGTATGAAGTGGAACACCAACGAATTTGCCTGAAACGGGACAGTTCTGATTAAAGGGGTTTCACTGTATAAAATAGTAAGTAACAAGGATATATGACAGCCAGTGTACATACTTGTTAATAATATAAGTTGTGATGGAAGAAAAAAGTATTTAGCTTTGAATTAGTCAATTGGGCGAACATAAATTCTTCCATTTTTTACTTCTCCTATTTCGTATTGTGGGTGAGGAAATGTGTATTGTGGGTCTGATGCATAGTTATTTTTTTTTTCACGAATTTTCAGGGACAGCCTTTTCTTTCGATATAATCCCAACCCACCCATTCCTACCCCAGAATATCAGAGTCTTTCAGGGTACAGGCATCAGAAGAGTGAGTGAGTGAGTTGGATTTAACGCCGCTTTTAACAGTATTCCAGTTACAGCACGGCGTGTCAGCTTAATGTGGGAGGAAAGCCCGAAGTGATGCAGGTCTCAGACGTTTACCACTTCGGTGAAACCCACGGGCACGGGTATGGTTCTGACAAACCTAGAAACATAATCGGGGCAACCGGGATTCGAACCCACAATCATAGGTTGGCGTGACCAAGGGACGCAACTCTGCACAGTGAATCGCGGCGCCTTAGACTGGGCAACGGCATCAGAAGAGACAAGGGATACTGACAGGTGAGGTGTAATGGGGTTTAACGTCGCGTCACAGATTATTGCACTTATATAGCGACGTGAATGCACGTGTGTGTGTGGCTGCTTGAACTAGTCCGATTGATGCCGATTTATAGTGCTAGCTCACTGAGATACCATGCCGCAGTTTAACATGAATACCCCACTCAGACACAGTATACTGACTCCGAGCCGACCAGTCCTTGTTTTAGCCCCTTAATGCCGAGCGGCAGACAGGGTACCACTAGATCACGGAGGCGGTCCGGATACTGACAGTATGTATAACCATACGAAGATAAGGCATTAGAGTGAGTACGTATAGCCTTAAACCGCACTTGGCAATATTCCAGCAACAGCACGGCGGGTCACTCCAGAAGCAGGTGTCAAACACTGTACCCATGTGATAAATCGTACCCGGACCTTCTGTGTGACAAGAGAACTCTTTATGACCACTTCACCTGAGGACCCCACCGCCCTCAGATTTATAGATTTGCATATAAGTTATATGATATATCGTTTATTGTAGTCAGGTAAACCACTCAGGTACATATTCTTATGCCCCATATCCGTGAGTCCCAGTCGTAAAATGCCCATTAAAGGTGTCCAATATCTACAGCGAAGAGGATAGACAATTCCCAGCCAAAGGCCTATCATGTAATCCAGGGGGCGTAACTCCTGCTGCACTGTTGATACGAGGGTGGCTGAAAAGTTCTGAGCCAGGCTATGATGGATTGGGTTGATAGGGTTGGCTGATAATTATTTTTTTCAACATTCTCCCCTTTGAGGTCCACGCATCCCGTATATTGGTCTGTATTAGTTGAGACAAAGTTTTGCAATCACAAGAATACTATGATATAAGTTACATGTACTTATGAATTCCTGTACCATTGTAACATGTATACACGCACTTTATATGTATATGGCCTGTGGCCTTTATACGAATAAGACTTGACTTGACTTAACTGGTTTGGAACTGATGATAAAAATTTCAGTTTTCTCATCATTCAATTTGAGGAAGTTTGTCGTCATCCTATTTCTGACGTCATCAATGCTAGATGTGATACTTTGGAATGATAAGGGTGTACTGTACATCCTTCGTAGTCTGTCTTGTAACTTTTCAGCCACCCTCGTGCATACAAATCACCGGAAATTACCTCGAACTTGTGTCGAGGGCATGCATGGCTATAGGAGGGCCCCAACTGATACATTTCCTGTCATAATCTTCACGGACATAGACAATTTGAAAAAAGGGACCTTTTTCGCCCAGGTCGTCTCAGCTCCTGTTAATCAGACGGCCAGTTCCCTTACACGTGAAAATAGATCATTTGAGAAGCCCTTCCTGCACCGTGTTGGTTGCGTTACCTTTCCTAAACTCTAATGATACAACTGTCCGTAACTCTGAGAGCAAGAATGTTGTCCTATTCGGCAGATACATGTACGTATTTAAATAATTTAAAAAAAAAAAAAAATGAAAAAAATCTCTAAATAACAGTCACATGCTAACAATGCAGTGAAAGAAGATAAGCTATTTGAACACTCCCAATTAAAAGAATTAAAAAGTAATCAAAACCCTTCTCTCCATGGGCGGTCGGATAGCCTAGTGGTTAAAGCGTTCGCTCGTCACGCCGAAGACCGGGGTTCGATTCCCGACATGGGTACAATTCGTGAAGCCCATTTCTGGTGTCCCCCGTCGTGATATTGCTGAAATATTGCTAAAACCGGCGTAAAACCAAACTCACTCACTCACTTCTCTCCATGGGTTGTTTCTTACACTTTACCGTAACAAATATCCACGTGAAAATATTTATTTAACCCTCTAGTAACCAGCGTATCACCAGTGATACACAGATTCTAAATTCTTCTGAGTCAGCTTAATAAACATATGAGATGTAAACAAATCCTTCTGTAGTTTCACAAGTTGATATATTTTCAGATCATATTTCATTTTGTAGTGAAGTCCTAATTTTAAATCTAACTTGGCACTTCCTGTTTTGGTCTTCTTGACATGTGCTCATGGTGCCAAAAAGGGTATGACATCAATCCATCGACATCCAGGTAAAGGTAACTTAAATGTGTATATAAAGTATTGTTTTCGATTCTTGAATAGTTTTGTTTATAAGTAGATGTCATTATTTGGTGAAAATAATTGTATTTTATGACATACAACCAAATAAAAAACATCTGTATCACCAGTGATACAATGGGACATGTTATTTTTCTTTGTATCAGCAGTGATACATTTTGGATATTTAAAGAATCTTAGATATATTTGCTTGGAAGCTACGTCCGTGGCTGGAGGCCTTGAAAGAGAGATGTAAGGAGATCCCACAAGAAGAACATAGTGCTGTGGATGAAGTTATGATCCCGTTCAAAGGGAAGTCCTCGGTGAAACAATACATGAGGAACAAACCTCACAAGTGGGGGTTCAAGATGTGGGACAGAGCTGGGGCCTCAGGAATACTGTATCAATTTGAGGTGTACCAATGAGCAGCCATGAATGTTACGGAACGCTCCCCACTTGGCATGACAGGTGAGGTAGTCATACGTATAACATCAACAATTCCTGAAGGTCTAAACTACAAGGTTTTTGCAGACAACCTTTTCACTTCTCTAGATTTGGTGGACCAGTTGAACAAGCGAGGAATCCTCTATGTTGGAACAGTGAGGATGAACAGGCTGAGAGGGTGTAAACTGAAAGACCAGAAGACCCTAAAGAAAGAAGGTCGTGGAAGTATGGACTCCAAAGTAGAGTTCAACACTGGTGTGATTGCACTGAGGTGGTATGACAACCGCACAGTTGATCTGGTTTCATCCTATGTTGGACAGGAACCTGTGCGTGAAGTGAAGCGCTTTGACAGAAAGGAGAAGAAGAATATCATGGTCACCTGTCCCAAGATAGTACAGGAATATAACACATTCAGGGGAGGAATAGACCTGCTGAATTCTCTGACATTTCTGTACAAACCTGGAGTCAAATCAAGGAGATGCTACATGTACATCTGGTTCCATACCCTTCACATTGCATTGGTTAATGCCTGGCTTCGCTACCGCAGACACAGCAAACTTCTTGGTGTCCCTCATCACATGAAGCTATGGACATTTCAAGGACGCATAGCTGGCAGTTTGGTGTCCAGGAAGCAGACCGTTGGCCGTCCTCGAGCTACTGACTTCAGTCCTCCACCATCACGCACAGTAAGACGTGGTCTCTTGCCTGCAGAAGTCCGTTTGGACCAAGTGTCTCACCTTCCTGAGTGGGCCGTCAAACGTGGATGATGCAAGAACAGGAACTGCGCATCCCTCACATATGTGATGTGCTCTAAATGCAGAGAGTATGCAGGCTTTGTCAAAGAGAGGAACTGTTTTGCACACTTCCACATTTGTAAATAGACTCTTGTTATTGATCAAAGGAACCTGTTTCAGTGAGAGAAATAACCTGCATGAGTTTTGTTACTGTTTGGAGTCAGTCAGTGACTGTCTTTGTGCTTCTGCAAAGTGTTTTAGGATTTGTCGTTAATCACTGAAAGTGATTATACAGTTTGCATTTCATTCAATTATTTCACTGTATTTATTTTTCATGTTGCTCAGGATTTCTAGAGGAAAAATGGTTGTGTTCATTCAATAGAAAATGATAGAATAATAAGCCAAAATAATCTCTTATCTATGTTTTAGTTGTTATTATTTAGATGTTTGGCATGAGTGCTGAGTTCCAGTATGTATCACAGGTGATACATGGCAAACCCAAAACACTAATACCCATCGTATCACAGGTGATACAAACACTATTTTGTAAACAATTGAACAAACAGTGAAAATCAACACATCTCTGTCTTAGTTTGACCACAGGTGTGTCAAATTAGGATTTTAAGAATTTTTGGACAACTAGAAATAGTTCTGGTTACTAGAGGGCTAAGCCTAAGACTCTTCTATACAAACCGACTTTGGGGCACGCTTGGTCGTGTAAGCCGCCATAATTGGCTGTGCAGAGTTGCGTCCCTTAGTCGTGCCAGAAACCTATATTCGTTTTTCGAGTCCCGATTCGTCCTGCTTATGTTTCTAGGTTTGTCAGCATCTGTGCTCGTGGGTTTCACCAAAGTGGTAATCCTTTATTCCTGCATCACGTGACTGGCAGTGATAATTGAAATATTAGTCAGAGCGGGCCTAAACCCAACTTTCACTCACACTTTCAAAACTCTTACGAATGTATGCAATGTGAGGTAGCCTAGTGATTGAAGCGTCCGCTCGTCGACGTGATATTGCTGTAATATTGCTAAAATCCTCACTCACTCCGTGAGTACCACCGTGGTCTAGTGGTAGAGCGTCCGCCCGGAGAGCGGAATGTTCGGGGTTCGATCCCCGGCCGCGTCATACCAAAAGACGTTAAAAGATGGTACTTGTTGTTACCCTGTCTGGCGCTCGGCATTAAGGGGCTAAAACAAGGACTGGTCGGCTCGGAGTCAGTATACTGTGTCTGAGTGGGGTATTCATGTTAAACTGCGGCATGGTATCTCAGTGAGCTAGCACTATAAATCGGCATCAGTCCGGACTAGTACAAGCAGCCACACACACACACACACACACACGTACATGCACGTCGTTATATAAGTGCAATAATCTTGGCGACGTTAAACCCCATTACACCTCACCTCACCGTGAGACCTGCACAGATTGTATGACTGTGCCACGTGGATCATATTTCAATGCATGTATTTGAATACGTGCATAAAGGGGTTCGGTATGCGTGCAGTGTCCCCATTGCTATACGCTGCGGATTATATACCACAAAAGGCTTACCGGTTTTCCCCGCAGCGAGCCATGTCCCAATACCAACCGTGTGAAGCAAAATATTTAGCTGGGTTGAACTGTAGCATAGATAGCTCTTATACATTATACATTAATATTTCAATACGCAAGTTCCGTTTAACTCTGCTTGAGGAGTACATAATGTGAGTTAATGTCCAGTTTGTCGTGTTGGCGTTTACGTTCAAAGTGACGCTACTCTAACGTTTGTAACTTCTCGGAAACCCACGAGCGCTTGCATGATGACAAAGAATCAAAACAGGAATTAACTTTAGATTCGTAATCCAGCGGGTCCCGACAGATAATGTGTTAAACGTAAAACAGTAAACAACTCAAAACAGAACATTCAGCCTATCCAGGGAACATCTGATCCAGGGAGCCATTGTTCGTGTCTGTGATTGGTACCCAAACAATAGGAGTGAGTGAGTGAGTGAGGTTTAACGCTGCTTTAAACAGTATTCCAGTTATATCGCGGCGTGTCAGCTTAATGTGGGAGTAAAGCCCGAAGTGATGCAGGTCTCAGACGTTTACAACTTCGGTGAAACCCACGAGCATGTGTAGGGTGCTGACAAACCTAGAAACATAATCGGGGCGAACCGGGATTCGAACCCACAATCATAGGTTTCTGGCGTGTCCGAGGGACGCAACTCTGCACAGCGAATCGCGGCGCCTTAGACGACTGGACCACCCGTGCCCCCTTCCAAACAATAGGGGAACAACCAACACGTTTCCATAGTTTCTGTCCCGCATCGAGTTCCTCTCACCAATTTCCAGCACTACTTTGTTTCATTAATACTATAATTCTGGCTGATTTCATTCACTTAATACTCTTGTTGAATCTGTAATTAATTGATACAACACTTTAACAACTGTTTGGTTGGCTTTTTAGAAGTTGGCAAATAAGTAATACAGTAAACTACGGTTATAACGAACACGCTTATAACGAACTAACGGATATAACGAACTAACTTTTTTAGTCCCGACTATATGCTGTAGTTATGCTGTATATATGCTTACAACGAATTACGCTTATTACGAACTAAAATTAGTAGTCCCTTTGAGTGCGTTATAACCGTAGTTTACTTTATGGGTAACAACTTCTGGTATATTGCATATGGCGACCTTTCGATTTAAATTCGTACAACGTTATCAAGCTGTTGTACGTTTTTCTTACACTGTAATACTTAATATATTGAACCTTTACCTTCGCTGTCCCCATTACAGGTGTATTCATGATGGAGTGTGGACCGGTGTACACTCCAAGTTCATACATATGAGTGTTGCTTCAATAGGGGAACGTTTCCACCCTACATGGTCCCACCTGTTTAAGGGGACGAGTGATTATTGCTTAACGCCGCATCAGCAAATATTGCAGCCATTCGCGGTGACCTTGGGATTCCCAGGAACTAAGAATTCCAGGCTACCTGATCATATACCAAGAGTAATGCTTGTTTGTTTGTTTGTTTGTTTGTTGTTTAACGTCGCACTCGGTAATATTCCAGGTAAATAACGAGTCTGGACTAGACAATCCAATGACTGACATCATGAGCATGGATCTTCGTAATTGGCATACAATGACATGCATCAATCATGTCAGCGAGTATGACAACCGGGTCCGGTCAGTCGCCTCTTACGACAAGCATGGTCGCCTTTTACGACAAGCATGGTCGCCTTTTACGACAAGCATGGTCGCCTTTTACGACAAGCATGGTCGCCTTTTACGACAAGCATGGTCGCCTTTTACGACAAGCATGGGTTGCTGAAGACCTATTCTAACGCGGATCTTCACGGGTACCATGAGTAACGAGTTAGGTCTTTGCCTGGAAGCCAGTCGCCAATAACTGTGTGAACTATTTCAGATAATGTTTAAAACCCCACTTTAGGCAAGTAAACAAAGTCAACAAATAAAACGATATTCTTCTTGCAATTAATGCGACAAAGTATTTATTGCCTCTTAGCATACAATCAAGAGCTGAATTGGTATTTACAATGTCTCCGTAATCATATACAATGACATGTCGTGTTTGTCATTGTCTTTCTCTGTAAAAGAAAAAGCGAACGAGCACCTTGCAGAGATTTGACTGTACTAGTTGTATAGTATACTACATTGCAGTACTACTGTAGAGGAGCGGTCCGGTAGCCTAGTGGTTAAAGCGTTCGCTCGTCACGCCAAAGACCCGGGTTCGATTGCCGACATGGGTACAATGTGTGAAGCCCATGTGTGGTGTCCCCCGCCGTGATATTGCTGGAATATTTCTAAAAACGGCGTAAATCCCCACTCACTCACTCACTCACTCACTACTGTAGGGGTACAACAGCACATTGCACCTTGCACCTTGCACCTTGCATCTTTCACCTTGCAGTAAGCACCTTGCAAAGGCTGTTAATGTTCAATAGCATAGACACCTTGCATGAGTAGATTGTTCCTAACATACGTTGATAAAAGTACCTTAACGAGTTCCTGTGTCACGGGTTCGGGTCTTATTTTAACAAGGTCGAAACTAGTATTCACAAAACTAATAACCAATGAAAACGTGTATTGATTTACAAACATTACACATTACGAACTACAAGACATACATGCACACATTTACAATAACAGGGCACAAGTTTATTGGTTTATTTATCAAAGCATTAACAGTTAAATTCATGGAGACTTATCGTCACTTAATGTATTTGTGTATATACACTGTCAAAGATGTATTAAGATCCGAAACACAAACCTTAGGTCGTTCCGTGTCCCACAATTTGGACGCGTTAGGGTCTAAACATGTTGACTTACTCTGGCAGACTTACATCGTGCGACAGTCGTAGCGCTTTGTACTCTGGCAGACTTACATCATGCCACAGTCGTAGCGCTTTGTACTCCGGCAGACTTACATCGTGCGACAGTCGCAGCGCTTTGTACTCTGGCAGACTTACATCATGCCACAGTCGCAGCGCTTTGTACTCTGGCAGTCTTACATCATGCCACAGTCGAAGCGCTTTGAACTCCGGCAGACTTACATCATGCCACAGTCGTAGTGCTTTGTACTCTGGCAGACTTACATCATGCCACAGTCGAAGCGCTTTGAACTCCGGCAGACTTACATCATGCCACAGTCGTAGCGCTTTGTACTCCGGCAGACTTACATCATGCGACAGTCGTAGCGCTTTGTACTCTGGCAGACTTACATCATGCCACAGTCGAAGCGCTTTGAACTCCGGCAGACTTACATCATGCCACAGTCGTAGCGCTTTGTACTCCGGCAGACTTACATCGTGCGACAGTCGCAGCGCTTTGTACTCCGGCAGACTTACATCGTGCGACTGTCGCAGCGCTTTGTACTCTGGCAGACTTACATCGTGCGACAGTCGCAGCGCTTTGTACTCTGGCAGACTTACATCGTGCGACTGTCGTAGCGCTTTGTACTCTGGCAGACTTACATCATGCGACAGTCGTAGCGCTTTGTACTCTGGCAGTCTTACATTATGCGACTGTTGTAGCGCTTTGTACCCTTAAGGAACAATTTAAGGTCCATATTGATGATTCATCATACGATAATTTCCAAGAAGTAGACTAAGTTCATAACCTTAACAGAACTGCTTCTAAACTGTATTCTGATCACATATCGTCAGTATTATCCTAAAACATTGTTCCACGTCTTCAGCAGCTCCAACAATCAGCAACTTCTTCGTAGTCTCATCGTCATAGATCAAAACTCTGTCAGCTAAGACTGGCTCCTTCTTTGCCATCAGGTCCTTCATCAGTGTTGGCCTCATGGTCGCTATTCGGCTGGGAAGGGGCGCCCTTCGTGTTTTCTTGAATTGCCCAACTGAAGCTGCAGGTACTCCCGTGCTGCTCCGTTGTGTTTGTGTGAGACGGGAACCGTCATCTGTGACCTGTGCGGGGCATGCTGCATGTGTTAGCACATGATTGACAAAGTCTCTGTTGTGAGGCATCTCCTGTAGTACTTTGGTCATCTGGTGGGAGAGAAAGCAGGACTGGGATGCGTCCCTCTGTGCTGTTTCAGGTGAGGTGCCCTTGGAGTTATTCTGTGAAGTTCGCATATCGGCAACTCTCTTCATGCCCGTGTCGACACCAACCTTGGCGCCGGTCATCACTAACTCGGAACCCTTTAATGCAATTTTAACATTTTCCTTTGAAAGTGATTTCTCAATATCACGTAGTTCTGCATTCCGCATCCAAAATGTTCTTGTTTCTTCCTTCATCAACACAATAGTTTCTTCAGAGTAAGTGTAATCTTGCAGAAAACGCTTAATCCCAATAATGACTTCAGCTGCAATATCTTTCGTACTGACAATAGTAAGGAGTTTCTGTGAGTCATCTGCTACAATGAGCACTTTGCTTGATAGTTTCTGTAACGTTTGTTTCATTATTACTGAGGCCTCTGATGGTTTCATATATCCACCCACTGGAAAGATTTCAAAGTCAATGACCTTCGTCTCAGTACAGCTCCTGAGGATGTTTTCAACCCTCTCATCATCTGTTCCAGTGGCGTCCATATATTGCACTGCGCCATCTAATGTAATGTTTATCCGTACATCACCTGCAATCATCTTGTTTGAAATGTATGTCTTCGCTTCCTGACTTGATTGCAGCAGGTTTCGTATATCTTTGTTGACTGTCAAGTCTTTCCAGTTCACATACATGACCCCCTGGAGAGGGGCAGGTGTGACAGGAGGGGACATTGGGGACTTTGGTCCTCCACTTAACTCTCTGCTAATCCCAACTCTCACTCCTTCACTTAACTCTCTGCTTATCCCCACTCTGCCTCCTTCACTTAACTCTCTGCTTATCCCAACTCTGCCTCCTTCACTTAACTCTCTGCTAATCCCAACTCTGCCTCCTTCACTTAACTCTCTGCTAATCCCAACTCTGCCTCCTTCACTTAACTCTCTGCTAATCCCAACTCTGCCTCCTTCACTTAACTCTCTGCTTATCCCCACTCTGCCTCCTTCACTTAACTCTCTGTTGATCCCAACTCTTGCTGTACTATCTTTATATAGATCCTCGAACTGTTTCACTGCTTCTTCAAATACATCGTCTGTTGCAGTTATTGAAAAAGTACCTGTCGAAATGTCAATTTCTACTAACATTTTCTCATGGCTTGGTAAAGTGCGGTTCAAGAGGTCCTGTTTTAAATCAAAGAGGCTCTTCCCAATGACACTATTTCTACGCACTCTGATGTCCTTTGTCTTGACCAATGATAGGAATTCCCGTGCTTTCTCCCTATGCTCTCCAGTGGTGATTAATACAAATTCATTCGTCTGATTATCAAGTTCAAATTCAACATGGTCACTTCTTGCCACGTTTTGTTCAATATACTCTTTCGCTCTCGGTCGAGACTGTAGAAGTTTTTGCTTCTTTTCTTGAAATCGCAGTTTCAAGAAACATAGCTCAGGCGAGGACAAATACTCATCAAGTTTAGTATTAAAGTCTTGTATTGCTTCTCTTGTTCCAGTGACGGATATTGCCTGGTTGTTTCTGCTTTGTGAAATGTAGATTTTTCCGGATGTCAACCGAGCTGCAATCTGTTGTATGTCCTCCCAGTGGTGCATAACCTGTTTGAATGATCTGTCATCAACTTTGATTGCACCATTTTCATATTTGGACATTTGTTCTTTCAGATGTAATTCTGCTTCAGAAAGAGCATCATCCGTGGCAATGATGTGTACAGAGTCGTTTACTTCATCAGGGACGAACATGGCTTTACCAGGAAACCTTAAGTGACAATACCCATTACATTCAGTTACAACATCAGTCTTTGTCAACACTTTGAAGATGTTGCTGTCTTTAAGGTCCCATCTGGCTTGTTTAACAGATTTAACATATATCTCATCAAACACATCAAGAGACCCCTTTGTCCCTGCCAACAGAAGGATTTTGTTTTCTTCTGAGTTAAATGTACAGGCGATGCCTTGAAGTTTGCATTTCAATATGAGATAATTACGCGCTTGAATGTTGTCTCTGAAAAAAGGAACCACGTGCCCCTCCAGTAGAACGCTTCTCCTGTGTTGTAGTTTTGTAAAGGTATCTTCCATGCTTGAGTCATCCACAGAGCCAGCGGAAGAGGAGGAGGAGGAGGAACTCGACCCTCCGGTAATCAGTTTGTGAGTAACCTCAGTGACTATCTTCTCATTGGTTTTACTTGTGACCACAGCTATGCCACAAGATGTCACAAAACAGGTTGCTCTTCCCGACACGAATATTGTAGATTCACATAGCTTTTGATATAGGTTATGTTTCCGGCTCTCTTGTACAGGGCGTTGAATTATACACAGAGATGAAGCAGTGTCCTGGAATAATTTTTGTACAGTTCTGATCCCAAATAATCTGTGAGACGGAGATCTGTAAACATTTCCAGTGCAGGTTGTTTTGATTTCATCAGGGTTGCTAGTGGTGATCCGTTCTGTGTTATTCATCTTTAACTTCCCATCCAGCTCAGATAGTAGGCCTGTATCACCTTTAATGTGACGCCATTGCCATACCTGTAACTCCATCTGACTGCTTTCATCGCCGAACTTTATCCCAAGAGACTCAAAGTTCACTGTTAAAGTGCACCTCTTTGTATCTATAATAGAACAAAAATATGCCTGTAAACCCTTTTACATTAGACATCATGATTTAAGGATGCAGCCCTATCATGACCTATCGGCTTCTGCACATATGATTATTTGGACTCAAATATATTCAACGTAGTCTTTATTGTACACATTGTCTACCGTAAACAAGTCGCTATATGGCTATGATCATAATGTATATTCATTGGTTAAGGGGCACATGACCTTCCTTAAACAGGGTATTACCTTGAGATCGACCCTGCCATGCAGCGATCAAAAGTGACATTGCCCTGCGTGATTAAGCCAATTGATTTAGAGAAGAGAATTATGTTCAGCCAATCAGTGACATGGCTTGATCAACTTCATCTTCTGTGAAGTCCCGTGATATCTGATTTAATTATTGTTGAATTTGAAATATTCCTAAATGTTATGTACTCAGACAATTATTGATCACCGGCCTCAGCCAATATCGGTTTCTCTGGTCGATAAAACATGCTATTTCCCTCATGAATTAACAATAGTTGATTATTATCGATCAATAAGGTTCTCTTTTCGTGTTGTTATTAATTAGCTTTATCTGATGTCTCCAACAACACTTACCTTCCGGGAGGAAAAGACAGGTTCCCTGTCCGTCACTCCTTTCACTGAAGCGTCTTTGAAATGCCATCGCATCCTGAAAAGAATAAATGGTAGTTTCTAACTTTATATTAAAGAAAAAATGGAATTAATTGTTCACTCCCATTTTCTGGGATTAATGTTTTCTAGTTCGAATGTGATTTGCACAAAGTTTTAATTTGACAGTTGTTCCTGTGCTGTTAGCTATTTCAGATAAGTTAAGTACCCGCAGTTCATTCCAAGTTACATATTTTTGGTCGGATTTATGTTTGGTGTGGAGCAGAGAGCGCCAATAAGTAATTCTCCGAGGTATTGCATGTGAAATCTCCACAAGCCATCTCCTCTCTCGGTCTCGGATAAGTGCATGATGAACTGACACTACCATTCTTGTGAAGTCAGGCGTTAAAGACAAACACATTATATGTGTGTGATAGAGCAATGCTCAAAGTGGTATACTCCAGCTATATCTTATACGTGGGAGGCGACTAACGGGATTGGGTGGTCAGGCTCGCTGACTTGGTTGATGCATGTCATCGATCCCAATTGCGTGGATCGATTCTTATGATGTCAATCACTGGATTGTTTGGTTCAGACTAGTTTATTTTACAGACCGCCGTTATATAGCTTGAATATTGCTGTGTGTGGCGTTAAACTTCAAACAAACAAACCTAAGACCACAGGAAATGTTTTATCGAAATCGCTTCTGCCTTTTTCATTGGTAAAAACTGTTAATTCCAATTTCAAGAAAAAGTTGTCACGTAAAATGAACTGACTGCTGCTAATTCCGAAATGTATACCTTTAATAAATATGTAAATTGATTATTGTTTATAACTGAACAAACATGGTAAAAAATTATAGCATATTTTATCATCCAAAACTGGCTCCCACAGAAGATATCGCTTGGATGAGATCAAGCGATATCTACACTGTAGATATCGCTGCAATGAAATTACATCACAATGCTTTGCAGACCATTGTGACGTCACTGGTTACCATGACGTCACAATCAAATGACATCACTAATGGCTCTGTTACTGAAGCTGTTAGCAGTACTTTTTTTCACTAAAGACACTGCTAATTACACACTCCGTCGCAGTGGTGACTCAGCATAACACCACTGCCACAGGCTAATTTACATATCACGTGACCGGACTTTTCTCTTGTTTGTAAACAAACGCGCTTTTTCAGGAATCAGTATAGAACGGACTAATGCAAGTATTTGGGGGCGCTTTACATATTGTTTTGCATAATTATATAAATATGCTACTACAGCTGCGACACTGAGTTGCATGATAAAATATATTTATACATGAAAGTGACCGTATCGCTAGCTCTCCGTTGGGCTTCGATGACAGCACGTGAAGCCGTCGACCAATGTAAACAAAGGATAACTACGCAGAAACAAGTAGATTTTCACGTTTTATGATACTTTCTTAAAGGGGAAGTGTACACGCAAAAACCTCTTTCTTTCTTTTTCTAAACAAAACGCAATTTTAGAATTAATTAGTATCTGTGTTTGAAAATATACACTCATTTTTTTCACAGTGAAAGTAGGAAGCTCACAATAGTGTGAAAATGATATGCCGTTATGAGGCCTTCGTTTTTCGAGCTAAACAGGCCTGAGTTATCCCCCTTAGATTATGACGTAATTGGTGCCAATTCAACTGGGTCCCTGTCTATTCTCAACGCAAAAGATATCAAGTACCAGTTTGCGGTAAAACAACATGGCCTACGACACACTCCGGCGCAGTGGTGACTCAGCATAACACTATGCTGGCTGGCATCTGAGACGCTAGAATCACACACCTAGACCTACACCACGTGAAGCGGCTCTAACAAAGCATGATGACGTCATAATGTTTATCAATTGGCACCAATGACGTCATATTGCAAGGGGCATAAGCCATGGTGTTTTTGTTGTGGAAATAGAACACTTGGTAAATGTGAAAAATATAAATCGTTTAAATGCGAAAAATATGTTAATTAATTGTGATATTTTTATATTTTTGTCTATGACACTTCTAGGTTAACACTTTTAATGTGGAAAAAGTACAAGAAAAATAGGTTAATTTCCGTGTGAACTTGCCCTTTAAAGAACCGTAACCGTTTTTTGACATTTGTTTATGAAAATGTGTAGACTTGTCAAACATGAAACGGATGAAAAGCATATGCAATATCTTGAATGGACTGTGAACGATGTGACGAATCGTCACATGGCGCTGGCCTGTGGCAGAGGTACTATGTCGGCTGGCTGCCGGCCGCAAGGAACTCTGGGTAGGAGAGTGTGCTAATTACTGTCTACAAATTGAAAAAGTTGGAAGAATAATGTTGGATGATAAATAAAATCTCACCCACGTGTCTTTTGATATCAAATATATCAACACTCGTTGATAAAAGTGGCAAAAATCCTCGGCAAGCCTCGGAATTTTCCCACTTTTATCAACTCGTGTTGATATATTTGATATCAAAAGACACTCGGGTGAGATTCTCTATATACTCTACCACTCTACCACAAAACTGAGGGATACCTCTACACCCAGCCAAGGACGTCCACCTTCCACCTGCTCTTTGTACTGAACACGACAGCTGCTCACGTACCACAAGGGAGTGTGAGTAAGGGAGTTTGATTTTACGCCGCCTTTAGCAATGTTCCAGCAATATCACGGCAGGGGACACCAGAAATGGGCTTCACACATTGTACCCATGTCGGGAATCGAACCCGGGTTTTCGGCGTGACGAGCGAACGCTTTAAGCACTCGACTACCCGACCGCCCCCATACCACAAGGGAAGACACGACGGATGATATCAAAATCTAGATCAGCACCAGGCGCAGCATAAAGGCATACACGGTGACAGGTAACATAATTGACCCCAGCCGCGATAGGGCCAGTTCTCGAGGAAAGCTGTCCTCTTGGGCGTTTCGACCCTGATCTGCTCACTCGTGCTTGTGGCTCTGTGTGTCTGTGGAGGAGTTACAATCTAGGCTGGTTATTCTCTTGCTTTGACAATTTATATTTAGAAGACACGCCACTGCGTATTTCCACTTAACATTACGTAATTAACGATTTGATTTTTTTCCCTTTACAATAATGATTTAACCTGTGTACGCGACCGCAGGCTTGTGTGTCACTTTATTGATTATTTGTTTCCTTGAATGTCATACAGACCTAGCCTCGTACACAAAAGGGCGGTGATATGAAACGATTCACACAGAAGAATATATTTTAAACTTTAAGTGGTTCAAATATCCCTAGAGACATGTGTTCTCAGAACTATATAAAAAAAAACTTGTTTTCTTGAAATGCATCGTGCTTCAACTTGGCTACAGAAGCCTTACTGAGAAGGCCAACCAAACCAGCCAAACCAACCAAACACGTTATCAGTGTAAAAATGCGTCTCACGTAGTATAGACGTTATCTAAGGTTATATTGAATTCAAAGAAACCACTTATTTTAGTTCGTTATATCCGTCAGTTCGTTATATACGTCAGTTCGTTATAAGCGTGTTCGTTATACGCGTGTTCGTTATAAACGTAGAACAGGGTTTGTGTTGTATGGGACTTCTTGATACATGAAAATGTAATTGACATTGGGCCACCTGTGAGAGAAATTGGTGTTCCTAGCGTTTTGTATCGCGATCAAGAATTGGATGGCAGCATAGTTTATATGTTACGCATCACTCGCCGTGAGGTTTGCTGATCCGACTGTGATCTGGATGCATGTCTTGAAGGTATTCAATTCGGTTGAAGTATGTGATGGGGTAGTTGGTGGTGATGGGATTGAGGGCACGCGATAAAATTGAGGAATGTGATGGGGTTGCGGGTATGTTTGTTTGTTTTTTTATTTGCTGTTTAACGCCGCACACGGCAATATTCCAGCTATATGACAGCGGTCTGTAAATAATCGAGTCTGGGCCAGACAATCCAGTGATTGACATCATGAACATCGATCTACGCAATTGGGATACGATGACATGTATCATTCAAGTCAGCGAGCCTGATCACCCGATCTCGTTAGTCCCTCTTACGACAAACATAGATGCCTTTTACGGCAAGCATGGGCTGCTGAAGACCCATGGTCTGAGAGCATGTAATGGGGGTTGAATGTGGAGATGGGGTTGAGGTTATGAGGATGGTTGTGGGTATGTAATAGGATTGAGGGTGGTAAGGATGGTGGTGAGTTGGTATATCTTTCCGATGTGTTCTGTTCGTGTTTGTGGACAGGGGCATAGAGTGAGTGAGTGAGTTGGGTTTAACGCTGCTTTTAACAGTATTCCAGTTATATCGCGGCATGTCAGCTTGATGTGGGAGGAAAGCCCAAAGTGATGCAGGTCTCAGACGTTTACCACTTCGGTGAAACCCACGAACAAGGGTACGGTGCTGACAAACCTAGAAACATAATCGGGGCGAACCGGGATTCGAACCCACAACCATAGGTTTCTGGCCTGCCTAAGGGACGCAACTCTGCACAGCGAATCGCGGCGACTTAGACGACTGGGCCACCCGTGCCCCCACAGGGGCATAGAAGTTGGGTGGTAGAGTAAACAGGAACACGTGATGTAGAACGCTGATGGCAGTGTATACATGTAGCCAATACTGTTTTCCAAAACATAGAAACAACCAATACATACAACAGCTTTACACCAGGCAGATACCATAAACCGATTTACCGATACATATACCGATATATGGCCTCTGTACCAGGATACAACCACCCACCTTCTGTCTCTGACAAGCCTACACAAAAAGGTAACAACAAAAAGGTAACAGCACGTTTGTTTATGTTAAAAAGGAAATCCATAAAGAACGTGATCTGTTTGAAGGACAAACAATTTGCTTTGGATATGTGTGATATGACAGTCATATTTAATATAATATAATATTCTAACAATCCGCCTGCATGTTGTATGAGTCTAATGGAATATGTAGATGTTAGAAAAAATATCGCACAAGTAGACCATATCGAACTTACCCTCTCCTGCTCGGTTGTAATGGCTGCCGCTCTAGTGTTACATGCAGATATGCGTTGTCGCTATTTATAGTCATAAAATGCAGGTGTACAAGTAAGGGTCTGTATGAATCTCTCGCTTGGGTCATGTCACGTCGTGACTTATCTGGTGTGTTGATCTTTATAATGAAAGGTGAATGAAAAGTGAAAGTAGGGCATGATAATACATTTACCAGGAATAGAGAATATTTAAAGTACCCGACCTCAATGTGTTTGAAAATATTCATGGTCACACATGATTACCTTTCCACTTTAAAAAATTGAACCTGCGCATTGAACAAATATTCTCATGGTATAAATCTGTCTCATTCATTAGTCGATACATAGGGCTCACACAAGCTGAAGCATTACCTTAGGCTTCCTCAAGACTGACATGGATTTTCAAGGAAGGTACTACCTACAACATAGGCGACGCAGACACACAGCCTTATCAAGGCGTTATGGTTATTCCCGGGACGTGTGTTGTGTTCACGCCATGCAACACTGACACAACCTGTATCAGACGTATTTTATTGGTGTGACATGTTTGTCACCAGATTTTCAATGTTATCTTTCAATTGTCGTATTGATTTCATACAATCTAAATACTGTACCTTTGTCATTAAGATCCAGTCATATCCATTGACATTAACATCGGAGTCCCAGGCACCTTGATACTGACGCCGTTTTCAATTTCAGAGCTTTATGAACAAACTTGCCATGCCAAAACGTGCTGACAACAGACAGGCAACATTGAGGATAACGTTTGGATAGTTTCTTCATCAACCTAAGGTTGATTTATTTGAACAGCACGTGAAGAATTCATGCATTCCTGGGATCAGCAGGTACAGGAAACACCTGTGACTATCCGGGGTAGAATAGGTCTTCAGCAACCCATGCTTGCCGTAACAGGCGACTATGTGTGTCGTAAGAGGCGACTAACGGGATCGGGTGGTCAGGCTCGCTGACTTGGTTGAAACATGTCATCGATCTCAATTGCGTAGATCGATGCTCATGATATCAATCACTGGACTGTCGGTCCAGACTCGATTATTTACAGACCGCCGTCATATAGATGGAATATTGCGGCGTTAAACCATAACACCAACAAAAAACAATGAGAGGAAAGCGTTGTTTTTGGCGTGCATATATAAAACCGGTGTGTCAAAGTTGAAGGGATCTAGGTTAATTCTTCGAGTGATCCTAGGTTCGACACAACCGTAAAATGAACTTGGGATACATTTACCGATTGGCGTGAAAAACGATGAACATGAAGAGTATGCGACGAACAACCAACAAGAAAATGTCCAACATTACTTTCATTGTTGATCATTAAATGAGCCGCGGTGTATAATGTTATCGATATGTAGGTCGCGTGAAGACACACACGACCCTGCAGTCAATTATGACACAACAACAACCCACCAGGTTTTCCTTTCGTTTTGTATTGATAGCGCTTACGTCATACCTTCACGCACTATGGCGACCACATATACATAACTAAACAAACGTAGTTAATGCAGACGCGGTGAGACATACTCCAGCAATATTGCAGAAAGCCATAACTCATTGGAGCAGAACAATGAAAGCATCCATCGATTATGCTTTTTTTTTGCTTGTTTGTTTGCTGAAAAAGCCAGTTTCCAGCTTTAAATAATCGGGTCTGGGACAGACAATCTAATGATTGACATCATGAGCATCGATCCACGCAATTGGGATACCAAGTCAGCGAGCCTGACCACCCGATCCCGTTATTCGCCCCTTACAACAAGCATAGTCGCCTTTTCACGACAAGGGGCGGTCGGGTAGCCCAGTGGTTAAAGCGCCGAAGACCCGGGTTCGATTCCCGTCATGGGTACAATGTGTGAAGCCCATTTCTGGTGTCCCCCGCCGTGATAGTGCTGGTATATTGCAAAAAGCGGCGTAAAACCATACTCACTCACTCCTATTACGGCAAGCATGGGTTCTAACCTGGTTTTTCACAGGTGTGTAGCATGTCTGTTTAGATTATTATAAAGGGTGTGAGTCGGAGAATGCCATTCCACACGCACGTATAGCAATATGCATCTATATCACGACAGCCTGTAAGTAATCGAGTCTAAATAAGAATAAGACAACCCAAGTTTTAGCACATGTCTCAATAAATTAAAATGTTAATCTGGAGTTTTAAAAAACTGCTGACGCGATTAACAGGTCATATGGTTGTCAGTTTAGTCTTCATTATCAAGATATACAGCTCTCGTTTATCAATTATGGATCTGTCGACCAGATAGCCCTGTGTCGTGTGATCATACAGATGACATACATGGCCCAGGTATGGCAGCCATGTGGCTTTGTGCGGCAGGGACCTTGTACCGTCGAGCTGAGTATCGTTCTCAAGAGGGTAACTGATCATCGGTTGTAGGTCAACAGCTATGCATATCTAACTGCAGGCAAATAACCTTGAGTCCCACATGGTCTATGATCGACCCACTGATATAGGCTTCTTCACAATACGCAATAACATTATTGGTTTTCATTGGTCGGAGGTTGGGGGGATAGGGGTGGGGGTGGGGGTTGGGCAGGGGTTGGGGGTTGGGGTGGGGGGTCATTATTCCGGGGCAACCTGGTTTTGGAGTCATGCCCTACTTGGAATATTTTATACTGGCATATAAACATCGGAACTACTTTAAACAAGAACGACAACTGGTTAAAGATAAGTTTGTCCAAAACTGTTAATCGTTACAATAGCACTCGCTTACTGCTGTTTTATACCAGGGACTGAGTATGGTTTTACGCCGCTTTTAGCAATATTCCACCACGGCGGGGGATACAACAAATGGGCTTCACACATTGTACCCAAGTGGGAAATTGAACCTGGGCCTTCGGCGTGACGAGCTAAGGCTTTAAACTCTAGGCTACCCCACCGCCCCTTTTTTATAACAAATCAAACCTATTTGATAAATTCCTATTAGCGATAACACCCTTTCCATGGTCAGAAGACATTTCTGCTAAACACAGAGACGATTGTAAGATTCCGACTGGATAATTTTGCATGTATTTATGAATCACTATCAAAAAGTACTGATACCAGGTGTTCGCTAAAAGGAGAGCGTATCCTGCCCCTACGTTGGCACCAGTCACAAACACATGCAAAGGCATGTCAATGGTTATACCAAGGACTGAGTATGGTTTTACGCCGCTTTTAGCAATATTCCACCACGGCGGGGGATACCAGAAATGGGCTTCACACATTGTACCCAAGTGGGGAATTGAACCTGGTCCTGAAGAAAACACTGGAACATACGGCACAAGTTAAAATAAGGAAGTGCCTCGGACATTTTGTTTATCACTGATGCGTCATGTTTGGAAATGCTACGACTCAAGTTAAGCAAGAGTCGTAGAACGCTCTTTGAAGTCTTGGTAGAATGAGCAGCCTCGATTATACTTCAAACGTTTGTTGCTGAAATGTAGACACCAAAGGCTGGAGCTGCTGGAATATTGCTCGACATAAGGGAAAAGTTGACTAAAGTTGTCGTGTGGGGAGTTTTTTGTCATGCTTCATCTTAAACAACATAAAAATTATTTGTTGAAATGACAATAGAACTTATTTCAGAATCTCAAATGTGATTTGTTTGCTTGAAAGGGCAATAAAAATAACAGTTTTTAAAAATATTGTTTTAGTTGTACAGCGTTCTAATACATATGTACACATGTCAAATATCAAATATGTAATGTCCAGGTTGGTTATTTAAAACTATTAATTTTATTACTTGACTTTTCATAAATCAAGTCTGTCAGTATTGTTTTGTATTTTAACAACATACATGTACAATAACGTTGGATCAGGCGCCCGCTATTAATGTAATAAGTTATAATGTATCAGCGATCAGACAAATCAGAGCATTGACACGTTAAGGAGATGTGCCGGTGAATATCAAAGATGGTCTATTTCTCTTAAGGAATCTTTAACGGTTATGTATACGGTGTAATAAAACATGAAGTAACATCTGTCTTATAGCACGGCTTGTCAACAAAGATTAATTCTTAAATTGTCTCAATTAAGTATCAATATTGTAAGAATGTTTGGTGATCATTAAATTTCTCTTTCATACATACAGCTTCGATTTCAAACAGTTTGGGAAATAGCTTTATATATTACCTTAATCATTTAATACCAGATTCAACTTTGATTAATATCTGACAAGTATATATCTATTGAGATGGTTTGATGTAAATGTAATATGAATGCGGTGAAGACAAGGACCTGAGAAAAATCAGGCCACGTTGTTTTTTCCTTTAATTAAGCTTTCAATCTCTTAACTCTTAAAAACAACAGAGGGGTAAAATTTAAACATACTATTTCATGTGAATGTGATGATATACATTTCCCCCATTTTTAAATGATCACAGATTGCCATAATTTATTTCAGTACTATGGATTATATTTATCAAATGACCTCATTCCTTTCGCGCATCTTGATTGGTTTTTCAGTTTTCACATGACATTGTTTGTTTGTTTTTTGTTGTTATTGTGTAACGCCACAATATTCCAGCTATATATAACATATGACGGCGGTCTGTAAATAATCGAGTCTGGACCAGACAATCCAGTGATTAATATCATGAGCATCGATCCACGCAAATGGGATCGATGACATGCATCAACATGCGACGTTTCGGTGTAGGTTCTAACTTGATAACGGTGTTAGAACCTACACCGAAACGTCGCTCTTAAATATATAATAAAGAAGTTGTTCATCCATAAATTCTTATCCTTACTTAGTACTCCAACTTATAAATGTCTATCAAAGAAGTTACTTTAATCAAACTCGCCAAGTTGCCGAAGCCGATGGCCCTTTCACATTAAGAGGTTAACATTTGACAGTTTTTACATCATATACCTTATATCAGATCATATCCACTCGACACCCACCCACTTGTCTCAGCCCGAAGATTTTAGGGGTATTCTGCTAAGAAATTGGAGTTACGTCCCTTAGTGTGTCGTCTGCTCGCCTGCCTGCCTGGCGTTTCCTGACAATGTCTTCCAAACAAGGTAAAAATGTATTCGATTCACATGCAAAATTAATAGAATTATGGAGCTATAGATCTTGGACATAACAGAGGACAGATTTAAAGGACCCAGAAGGTTTTGTGAACGAAAGGGAAAAATCAAGAACGCGGTACGTAAAACCGACAGCAACATTTAGATGCTCTATGTGTGGTTTATGAATATATAAATTTTACAATTCATGGAATACGAAAGACGGGCTATAAAAACTTTCAAATCATACTTGAGACTTAGATACCAACCATTTTCCCCTTAAAATTCGTCCCTGGGGCATGAGGTCTAGGGTTGGTTTGGGTAGGACATGAAAACTGCCTTACAGATCTGTTATATTAACCTTTGGCTGCATGGCGATTTATTTAGGAAGCAGAATGAATTAAATCCTTATTCGGGCAATTTTCCCAATCTCGAGCCATCTGGCCGTGGTTACAAGTCCTGACATAACATTTAACAATTTGTTTGTGAAATAACCATACGCCCAACGTGATATCAACAAGGAAGTATGCCACATGCATGCAAATCGTGTGGGTGAAGAAATAGAGGTCACATGTCATGTGTTGCTTTCACGACAACACATACTTTTTTAATACAATGTAACAGTTTATGCAGGTAAACATGGGAATGTGACTTCAGGTCGTGTAAGAAATAACTGTGTTGATGTTTCGGCAAATTAATATCGGAAACATTTGAGGCTGATTGGAGCATTCGTTGCCTTTCGTCCCTTTCCGTAATTTGGCCTTATCACGAATGCGACCTAAATAGCCTAACGTACAAGACATTCGAGTAGAGATAAATACCATCTTTACAACATCCACATGACATCTATATGGACGAAAATGAAAACATTTTTATTCTTGTTTATTGGGTTATAGATGTATTAGTTTCATTTGAATTGAATCGTGTATAGAGAGCTAGAAAAATACATTTTTCATACCAAGGGAAATAACTGCTCTTGAAAAGAAGGTCGCTTATCTGGGAAAACCCAACAACCATTTATAAATCGCATTTTCGATATTTGATTGGTCGAGTTTGTGCATGTGACGAGGGGCAACTTTCACTTTCGTTTCAGCAAATTCTACGTTTCAGAAGAAGAAGGCCATCTCAGAAAGAAGCTCAGGGCGTCTTCCTGAGCTAGTGTCATCGTATATATTCAAGTGAGTATCATTACACCGATATTTAGTCGTACTATAACCTGCCTCGTGTTGAGGTTATGCGTTCTATAGTGTATTTCAATCAGGCCTTCACTCTCATTTGTAGAATGGGTCATCTAGTAATTAATTGATCAGGATATTTTTTTCAAATCGAAAATAGAAATGCTCGCTTATATAAAATGCACAATGTCCTGCAGTAATGTCTAATTTAATAGCATATGGAAGTTTTGCATTTAATGCCATCTGACATGATGTTTTCAAGATTGTATCTACACAAAAGAATTTTGTTACACTTGCATGTGCCATAGGCATAGTTCATGAGAAGAATTTGAGTAATATCAAGACATTGATATGAAAAAATAATTTTGTGTTTGCGGTCCTGAATTTTTCCAGCATTAACAAAATTTACAAATTGATAAAGATTTTTGTTAAATGACAGGTTTGTTTAAGGTGATACTGATAATTTTTTTATAATGTTACATTTAACTTTCACTTTCAGTTTATCAAAGAGAAAGTAGACAATATGGCTGCTACCTAGCTGGTTCATGTCGGATGCTGGCAATGTGCCAATAGAGGCAACTCTGCTAGGATCGACGGAGAACATATATTGTTATACAGCTTTATTCTGAAGCTAGCAAAGGTAAATTCACAAACAATAAGAAACTCAAAATGATGTGAAATATTAGCTGAGTATTTTATGCATTGAGGTATATATGGTATGTTGAGAAAAGTATTATGTCTTCATATATCTATCCTACAAAGCTATTGTTTTTGGCTCAGGTGAACTGACTTAAGATTCAAGTCAGTGTCAAAAACTTTAGGTTGATACTATAAGGCTTATCAAACTGTGACTTATGTCACTAAGTTTGCCTGTTTATGAGCATTCTTCACATTTATCCTAATGAAGGATCACATGCTTTGTGCAAGTGGGCCCTGAACTTTCACGTCAAGTAAGCTTTTGGTGTAGCATGCCATCATGGGTGTCCATACTTCTTAACCTATCAGTATCACATGTTCAACATTGCCTGGAAGTATCTAAGTCTTTGCAAGGATTATCATGACAAAGGTATCTCAAAAAGGTAATCCAAGAATTCTGATCTAATTTTAAACAAGGCCACAATACCAGTTATTTTGAAATATCAGACATTTGTACATCCACTCATCTGCCTCTTTTGCTTCCTGTTTGAAACCAATTTGATACCCTTTCAACCTGGTCAATTTGATACCCTTTCAACCTGGTCAATTTGATACCCTTTCAACCTGGTCAATTTGATACCCTTTCAACCTGGTCAATTTGATACCCTTTCAACTGGGTCAATTTGAAACCCATTTAACCTGGTCAATTTGATACGCTTTCAACCTATATCTCTTGATAACCATAGCAACCCTATATCTGTAATGCTTATCAAAAGTGACACTGTAATAATTAATCAGAAAGAATATGTCAATGTTTTTGAATATAGTATGTTCAAATTTCGTATCGGGAACAAAAAATACTTATCAAGGAACATATTCATACTTGGTGAAACATCTGAAAGATTTCTGGACTTAAATCCTATTTAAATATATTTACAACCAATCGGATGGCAGCACACATTCTCCTTCATGTTATAATTTACAAGGAAAGTAAGATAGTGGTTATAATATGACTGTATACAGCTTATGATGAAGTAAATTCTTAATGTGAAGAAAATCATAATTGAATGTCCATTCTAAGGCCTTTTAAAACAAATATCTGATTTTAGAAAAGTAATCTTTTCATATCAAATATAATCATGTATCATTTCAATGTTATCATTGCCAGCAATAAGTACCCCCTGACCAAATTAAAAATCAATCTTCAAAATACAGCTTTGTAGACTCATTGAGTTCTGTCTTTTTTTTCAAAGCAAAAACATTACCACACAAGAAAACTGCATATCAATACATCTGTTTTGAGGTATGCAAATTAGTTATTTAATGACTCTTATTTATTAAATGGTGAACAGTATATCTTGTTTTAGTATTCATGATCCATTTTATTACCACTGTTGTATTTATCAATATGGTTTATTTCCTTTTCATTGGAAAATTGTCTGTGAACCGATTGGCAGATTGTTGTTTGCAACAACACTGACCAGACTACCATTCTTCATGCATTTTACAATTCATATAGAAAAAATAAAGCATCAGTTAGGAGAGTTTTATTTGTGGTACAATAATGACTGCAGATTAAGTTATTTCAATCTTTGCATGAAACAATCACTAAAGTAATCATGTGGGGCATAGTTTACTGTTTCACTAGTAGTCACAGGAGCAAAGGTAGCACATATTCAATGTGATTGCTATTTCTGGGTTATCCAACTTATTCATATGCATGGTAAGTTACTTTTTTCAATACATTTTACAATTTGGAAATAGAAACAATTACAAACATGCAGTCAGTTGTAGTCATGACCATGTCATGTCCCTAAAAAATCAGGTACATGACTATGTTAGTACAACATCTGAAATAGACTTAATAATGAGTTAGATATCAAATTTCATTACTTTACAGGGTCCTCATATTGCCTGCAATGACCCTTAAAATTGATTATTAATATATAGTGAGTCAGGATATAACCCAGATCAATCACGGCATGTACATCAATGCATATATTGATTGTCCATATTGTTATTGGTTTGTCATGAGTTACTGTGTTACTGTTTAACGATCTCAAATGAGTTTAAAAAAACTGGTTTCTTAAATTCATTTTTACAGAGTTATGTCCCCTTGCTCTATGCTTTTATTGCTGATATGCTGATATGACTTTTATTCTGGTATGCTGCAATACACTTTTCAAATGATACATATTGCACTATGTAGAGTGCACTATGTAAAGTAGACACAATGTATGGATAACAACTTCTTTAATACTGTAAAAAGCGACTTTTCGGTATAGATCCTTATGCCCTTGTCAAGCAAGACTGAATGAGAGAGAGAGATTTTAGGGATTTTATGACAGCTTCAGCCGTACCCTATTTTGCAGTCGGGGCCAGACGGGTTAAGAATAAAAATGAATGGTTGGAAATAACGAATAATCGGCTGGCCCAAAAAGCTGTAAATTAGAGGGGGTAAAGGTAGAAAAGAATATAGTAAAGGGGGTTGAATGGGATAAGAGAACTTAGTGGAAGATGAGAGCTGCAAGGAAGCCTAGTATACGATAAAGGATAATGAGGGGATAGCACCATTAATAAATATAAGATCAGTTAGGCTGATGTAATTAATGTAAAGTTTATTAAAAGAAAAGGGAAAAACTGAGAAACCTACCCTAGTAAATGTTGGACTTTATGCTGGGGGGGGGAGGCGTGGCAGGGGTGAATGGACGTGGTCTGCTGTGGAGCTTGGCTTGGTAGAGTGGCTGGTTAACTGAATATTGTATTTAGTAGGCTAAATATGGCTGAATTTTTCGCGCGGACGTCGGAGAAGACAATCCGCGCTTGGAATTTCGTTCCCGATCCTAAATGTGAAAGTTGCAATTTTAATGGTTGGAGATTTTGGCTGGTAATTTGTTGGGACTGGTCTAAAGTTTGTTGATGAGATTTGTTGTTTTTAGGAAGTTGGCTAGATAAGAGTATTTTGATATATGTCTTTGGAGGGTTGTAAGAGTAGTGTTATGTTGTTTTTGTATTGTGGGGGAAGGGAGTTGTATAATTCTGTCTGTTGTTGTTTGTATTGTGGACAGTGGTTGAGTATGTGGTCTAGATTTTCTGGAATATGACAATGGGTGCAGTTTGGGTGTGGGTGTCTGTTTTGATTGTATAGTTTTTTCGTTTAAATTGAGTTTGCCACTTAGCATTCTGTTTATGATTTTATCCGAAAGAATAGACTTAGTGAAGTTGCGGCATTTAGTGACTGGTTTAGTAAAGAGGGATTTTATCCATGTAGATTTACAATTTTGAATATTGATTTGGAAATTTTGATTTTGAATGCTTTTTCTGATAAGTGATTTAGTTTCGTTTTTGCTTGTGGTAAAATGTATGGATGGAGAGGGGTGTGTGGTTGCTAATTTGGCTGCTGTGTCTGCTAGTTGATTTCCATGTGTGGGCAGGAACCCATATTAGTGTTATTGTTTTATTTGTTGCTGAGATGTTAGTGTGTATGTCAGTAATGTTGTTTATAATATCTTGGTGCGATTTTGATTTTTTGTTCTGGATTTGGGTTATGGAGCCTAAAGAATCAGATATAATTAAGAATTTTTTGTCTTTTGATAGTTTGATATGGTGATATGCACATTGGATGGCTAGGAGTTCTGCTGTAGTAGTATGTGTGAAGTTTGTATAGTGGAAATTAGTGGTGATTGGTATTGGTTGTGTGATTTGGATGCCTAGTCCTGTTGTGTTATTGTTTGATTGGGAGGCATTAGTTTAGATGTGTGTGTGATTTGGCCAGGTTTGTTGTATATAATGTTTGGTGATTGTTAAAATTGTTTTATCTGTGTTTGTGATATCAGGTTGATTTGTGAATGTTTTGTGTAGAGTTAGATCTATTTCAGGTGGGGGTTTATCATTTATGTATGTGTGTGATGTTTTCAAGTTTGTGGGTTTTGATGAGTTTATGTAGTTGAGTTAAGTAGGGAGCTAAGTTGGGATTGTTTTTGAATTTTTTGAGTGTAGCAGGTATAAGGTTTGAGTATGATTCTGTGATTTGTTTTTAGATCGGGTTGTATTGGGCCCCAGCCCAGTAATTGAGTATGATTTGATTGAATAAGGTTGGAGATATGATGCTTCCCTGTGGGGTGCCATTTTCTAATTGGAATCGGTTGGATAGAGTATGATTTGATTTTACTGTGATATTTCTGTCGGTTAGAAAAGAGTGGATGAAATTTAGAATTCTACAATCGAGGGCTTTATCTTTAAGTTTTTGGATAAGGCCATTATGCCAAACCATGTCAAAAACTTTACTAAAATCGATGAAAATGTCCAAAGTGTATTGTTTCTGGGTGAGTGCTGTTTTTACATCATGTTCCAAATGTAAAATATGGTCTAAAGTTTGGTGATTTGACATAAAGCCACTCTGGTCCTCGTTAAGGAGGTTTTGAGAGCTAATTTGAAATTTTAGTCTATTATTAATGATGGATTCCATGATTTTGCAGATGAGGGAAGTTAGAGAGATGGGGCGACAGGAATCCGGGGGGGGGGGGGGGGGGGGGGGGGGGGGGGGTGTCCCTGGTTTGAAAACCGGTACCACCAGAGCTGATTTTGATGTTTGTGGTATAGTGCTGGAGGTCCAAATCTGGTTAAATAGTTGTAGGAGTAAATTTAGAATTTTGATAGGGAGGTGGTTAAGTATGATGTAGCTGATGTCTGGGCCTGTGGCTTGGGCTGTATTTTTGTTTTTAATTGCTGTTTGGATAAACTGACTAGTGGGGGCTTCACCAGTAGATAGGTAGCTATTGGAAGCAATAGTAATTGTTACTAGTTTTGCGTGGCTTGTGCTCATCAGACAGGAACACCCTGAGTCCACTGACACCACAGTTAAGAGGAGATCACTCGAACTGAGGTGGATATTTGAGCTAAAAACGTTCCACCCGCACGGTCTCAATGACAGAATGGTTGGCTGATTATTTCCCCCCCCCCCCCCCCCCCCCCCCCTTTTGGTCAACTTGCTGCTGTTTGGAGTTTGTGGATGTTAATTATTTTGTTGAGTGTCAGGTGTGGGGGGGATGGACTTTGTGTATATGTAGGGTGGTTTTTTATTTTGTTTTACATGTTTGGAGTGTGGTTGATGGAGCTGCTGGTTGCCGAAAAGTGAGCAGCCATGGCATCAGCCTTTTCTTTGTCTGTATTAAGATTAGGAAAAGTGGGGGCTGTAAAAGTTTTGGAGTTGCCTTTAATTGCCTTAAGTTTTTGCCATAGAATTTTGGTGTTTTGTTTCCCCATTTTCAAAGTGCTTGTAAAAGTTTACCAATGTTTTCTTTTGGCTGTCCTTAAAAGTTGTTTAGTAGAGTTTCTGAGCTGTCTAGCCAGTGGGAGTTTGGATATGTCCCGCTTGGCTTTATTTAATGCTTTTTTTCTTTGTTTCCTTGATTTTTCAATTTCTGGGCTCCACCAAGGGACAGGTGTGTGGTTAGGTAAGATTGTTGTTGTGGGTATGCATTGTGTAGCTATTTTGTGAATGATGTTGGTTAGGTTTAAATTGAATATGTCGTTGTCTGAGTTATGGATGTGATGGATGTTTATTTGATTGCAAAGTTTGTTGAAAGTTTGCCAGTCAGCCTTTTTAAAATTGAATTTTGTTTGCTGGGGGGTTCGATCTAAATGGGGGTCTGAAGAGGGGGGATGAATTTGGAGGAGGTTTAATTATTGATACAGAAATTTTGATGTGCAGGTGTCGCTGCCCCAGGTGTCAGAATGTACCTCCCAGCTAAGTTTTGGGTGAAGGTTAGTGGTGGAAATAGTTAAATCTACTTTGTGGGGGACTGAAGGTGGTTGAGAGGAAACCTAGTTGGTTGGTTATTATTTAGACAAATGAGGTCATTGGTATCAATACAGTCATTAATTAGTTTTCCATATTTATCGGTATAGTGTTTTATCATCCAAAACTGGCTCCCACAGGAGATATCGCTTGGATGAGATCAAGCGATATCTACACTGTAGATATCGCTGCAATGAAATTACATCACAATGCTTTGCAGACCATTGTGACATCACTGGTTACCATGAGGTCACAATCAAATGACATCAATAATGGCTCTGCTACTGAAGCTGTTTGCAGTACTTTTTACACTGAAGACACTGCTAATTACTGTCTACAAATTGAAAAAGTTGAAAGAATGATGTTGGATGATAAATAAAATCTCACCCTCGTGTCTTTTGATATCAAATATATCAACACTCGTTGATAAAAGTGGCAAAAATCCTCGGCAAGCCTTGGATTTTTCCACTTTTATCAACTCGTGTTGGTATATTTGATATCAAAAGACACGAGGGTGAGATTCTCTATTTGCGCCCCACAGTGGGTGGTGAGCGTTGAAATCACCAGAGAAAAGGGTGTTTTGATTTATATATTTGATAGTATTTCCAAATCTTGACCTGTAAAGGGTTTTGTTTTTGTGTGATAGACATTTATAATTGTGATGTCAGTTTGGTTAATAGTGGTTTGATAGCCAGGCATTCTAGTTTTTGGGGGGGTTGGAATATTTAGTATTTCAGATGGTCTTTAATAAAGATACCGAGGCCTCCATGTGGTGGTCGGGGGTAGTTTCTGGGTTGCGGTCTGTCTTGCCGATTGAAAATATAGCCTGGAATTTTGAAGGCTCTTTTGGGTGATATTTTGGTTTCCTGAAAGGGGTAGGGATGAGCTTGGTGGCATGTGTGACACATGGGCCTGTGTGGACTGGGTTTGACTTAGTGGGTTCAGAAGAGTTCTTTGCGTTTGGTTGTGGGGGGTGGGGTCGGGTCAGGTAGGGAGCTGGATGTAGAGCCGGAGGTGGTGTTGAGCTAGTAGTAGTCAGGTAAGGAGTTGTAAGTGGTTATGGTTGCCAGTTTAGAAAGAGTTCCTTTGTTATGAGTTTGTTGAGTATGTGTGATTGTTTTATGGGGCAGGTGTTTTGTGTTGCCGTGTGTCCTTCAGATTTGCAGTGAATACAGTATGGGGCCCATGTGCACTCTGCGGCTTCGTGTCTATACGAGCCGCATTTCTGGCACATGGGCGGTTGTCTACATGTTGATGTGGGGTGGTTAAATGAGTGGCATATGTAGCATTATGTGGGGGTTTTCCTGACAGGGTTTACTTTGTATGTGCCACATTTGTTTATTATGTATTTGTAGGTGATGTGTGCTTTGAGTGGGCAGAGGGCAAATTTGTTTGTGGAGTAGGTGTCATTTAATAGGGTGGATGTTGTTGAGAATGCATGCTTTGTTCAAATGTACACAATAAGAAAGATAATACAACAAAAATATTTAGATTGGGGGGATAAATGAACATGCAATTGAGGGGGAAGGGAAAAAGAAAGCTTTACTTAACAGCACTTAAAGAGCGGCCGAAACATGATCGAGAGTCCTTGCTAGTGGCGCTTAGGGGTGATAGTGTCCCTGGCCAATGGCCGGGTGGTCGTGTGGCGTTTGTGGGTGTTCACTTGAGGGTGCCTCTGTGTTCGAAGTCCCAGCATTCGTAATCCCAGAGATTGTGGTTATGTAAGGTTTGTTGTAGTTTGATTTAGCGATCAGGAGTAACCAGGCAAAAAATGGCATCCGTACATGCCGAAAGTAAACAAAGTATGAACGAAGGATTGAATGAGGAACATTGTACAGAATATATATAGTAGGTGGAGGATTAACAGTAGAGGATTAACAGTAACAACAATTGCATACAAGAGTGGAATAACATGAGTAAGTAATGACAACAGAAGGATCATGCTGTAACAACATGATGGACAGAAAACACATAGGTGGAAGCCAATGGGACATGAAGCCAATTAAACAGGATAAGTGATTATTGCTTATTGCAATAATCACTTATCCTGTTTTTAACATCTAAGTTTAACTTCAACTTCTAAGTAATGCCTATCAAACAATTTATTTTTTCTTTTGTTCCAACATAATGGACAGACAAGATATAACAAGTTTTATTATTTGCATCATTTAACATGTTTAACCTAAAATCTACGCCTCAAAATTGATTGACATATCAGCAGAAATACGAAAGTGATTTATCTCTCACATTGTTCTAACCCCTGTATCTGACGACTGGCCTTGCTGAGTAATATTTAATTTAGTATGTAGAAAATAGGATCTGCATGTACAGTCAGTGTCAATCAATGTGAAACACCCAGTATATCACAATACATATCAGATACCTATATCACAAGATGGTAATCCTGATTAAATGTCCTTTTGTCTTTTTTTCAAGGAAGTCAATAACTTCACAATGGCATCTCCTGGTAATGAAAGTGATGACTTGAGTAAACTGTCGGAATCTTTGGGTGGCCCAAAACATGAAACTGGAACGATAGATCAGAAAAGACAACGATCTTTGTCACTTCCGACAGTTCAAGGTTCAGAATCAGGAAGAATTCAAAGACAAGCATCACAAAGACAGACTGTAAATGTTTTTGATGGAGAGGATACTGCTGTGGATACCAACAGAGCTAAGGCTGATCAGACCTCTAACAGAACTCGGGATGGTAATGCTGCAGTGCATTCAAGTTGTATGACTGCAACTGAAAAGACAAATACATTGCCCAGTAATGAGGATCACAACATGGAGGATGTAAAAAAACTGCCTCTTGATGATTCAGACACAGGTATGAATTGATAATGCTGTTGCAAGTAGGTTTTTTTTGTTAGATTTTGTTATGTTCTTCTCTTCCATGATTTCTTGACAGACTCAGCTGAACCCTTTTGCTAGGAATGTTGACCACACTGTCATTTAAGTGTGTTCAAGGGATCAAAACATTTATTTTTGTTTGAAACAAGACCAAATATTTAATATTTTTGTGGAAAAATATTGTTGAAAGATCTTATTCTCATGCAAGGTCCTCAATGCTGAAACTGGAAAGACCAGAATTTAGATTTCAGCCTTTATGATTCAGAATAGGAATTAACTAATTCAGGAAATTTCAGATTAATTCATGAAAAATCAAACGTTTTGGCAATCTGTCAAGATGAACTCTAAATAAATGAACACCAATTATATGTCATGGTTGTGTTGAAGGTCATTCACTCATGAAATATGTTGGCAACAAGAACAGTCTGTTGGACTCCAAATGAGAACGATGAATTGCAAAATAACTCGAAATCCAGAAAAGTGTATGAAACATCAATACGGTACTTGACCATGAATACCCTGTACCCAACAAAATCTGAATTTTGATTATTTTAAGACCCATGACGGATGAAGTTCTTTAAGAAACTATCATGTAATTTTGTATAGAAATGTGTACATGACACGTAGGGGGGACAAACCATGGAAGGAACAGCGCAAGCACGGTCTGCACGTGCTACACAGTGACCGTGTTCATTCAATGACAAGATGCGCTACTCAGCAGATGTTAACCAGTTGATGTTGAATGTGTATGATTTCTTTAGAAGTGAAGAGGAAAGAGCAAAGCCTTTTTATGCAATTAATAAATTCTTGAAACGAGCTTCAAAAGCACTTGGTTTGTCCCCTCAGAAACTTAAACTTTGTCCCCCCTACGTGTCATGTACACATTTCTATACAAAATTACATGATAGTTTCTTAAAGAACTTCATCCGTCATGGGTCTTAAAATAAACAAAATTCAGATTTTGTTGGGTACAGGGTATTCATGGTCAAGTACCATATTGATGTTTCATACACTTTTCTGGATTTCGAGTTATTTTGCAATTCATCGTTCTCATTTGGAGTCAAACGGACTGTAGTGTTCTCACATGTGATTGAATTATGTTAGTGGTCAAGGTCACTTGGTGTGTAGTGGACATCCCAAAAAGTGTGTGTGGTACACAACATCTTGAATGTTGGAATGGGACAAAACTTTATCATTGTTTCTTCACATGAGCTCTATGTGGTTCATGGCTGAGACTGATGGATGGTCAAGACAATTAAACTGGAAGTGCTTATATCTTTGTTTCTGATACAGTAAACTATGTTTATAACGAACACGCTTATAACAAACTAACAGATATAACAAACATTGTTTTGTCCCGGCCATTTGCTGTATATATGCTTATAACAACTAATGTTATATATCAGAACTAATATCAGTGGTCCCTTTGAGTTTGTTATAACCATAGTTTACTGTATATCTGGAAGCATTGGACTTTCTGTTTCAATTTTGTAATGCACTGGACATGACTTACTAAACTGGAAATGATTTTGTTAAACCGAAAGTGCTTATAACTTTGCTCTTAAGATATCTCAACTGGACTTCCTGTTTCAATGTTCTACTTTATTGGGCATTCGTTTTCCCATACCAGAAGTGAAGCCATTAACCAGAAGTATTTGTAAGCTTATGATGGTGTAGTGTGGTGTGTTGTCCATTGTCCATCATGTTGTCTCTGTCCTGTTATATTTTACCTCACTTCTCCTCTGATACTACATGGCCTAAAAAACGTTGCATGAATGATTTTAGCTGTGGTGTCCCTAAAACATATTCAAATAATTCAGATCTTTAAATATGGCCACCCGAGGGGCTATTTAAATAATGTCACTTTTGTCGGTTACTCAGGCATTTTTGTGTTATTATGAAATTTGATATGCAGCAAGTATGATTTGATTATATGCCAAGGTGAGCTACAGTGCAGCTGCACAAATTATCACATTTTCTAATTAGGAAAACATAATGCGGTGTACCGTCGATACAATGACCCTCGATATACCGCTACTTCAGATACAGGTTGGGGTACCACTTGGCTCCCAAAAATTCATTAAGAATTTCCCTAAATAGTGTGATCATCCAATAGAATTGATAAATAGACTGATGAGATGTTATTCCCAGTTCCAGTACACGCCAAAATGAGTTTTGAAGGTTATTTCATCAAAAGCACAACCATTTCCCTGCGCACATTACACCGGAAATACCATGTCAGCAAATCCGTACTGAAGTACCCAATTTAATCCTGTTATTAAAGTAAAAAAAGTGCACTGTATATCTGGATTCAAGTCTGTCATCTTTGTCATTAATTTTATTCAAAATTTTATTCATTATTGTTCATACAATTTCAGTGAAATTGTGTGTGAACTCCGAGCTTCAGATAAGATGCGTAAAATACCCCCCAAAACTATTCAAAACCCAATTACTTTCAATTAACTTGTGTACAGAAATTTAATGCATTAAATGAAAAACTCAATTGTTTGAAAACAGCACGCGTAAATACCAAATGAAGCTTTTTCAGCATGCGTACAACAGAGCTAATTATCCCCCGCCGCGCGAAAGCGCGAAGCGGGGGATATAGTATTCACGACCGTCCGTACGTCCGTCCGTACGTCCCACCTGTTTGTTGCCGCGATATCTCAAGAACTAAACACTGGATTGTCTTCATATTTGGAACTATGGTGTATATACAGACTCCGCAGACACCAGTCGGTTTTGGTGACCTTGATCCCATTTTCAAGGTCACAGCAGACAAATCTGCTTTTAGAGTTGGAAAACGGTGTTGCCGCGATATCTCAAGAACTAAACACTGGATTGTCTTCATATTTGGAACTATGGTGTATATACAGACTCCGCAGACACCAGTCGGTTTTGGTGACCTTGATCCCATTTTCAAGGTCACAGCAGAGAAATCTGCTTTTAGAGTTGGAAAACGGTGTTGCCGCGATATCTCAAGAACTAAACACTGGATTGTCTTCATATTTGGAACTATGGTGTATATACAGACACCGCAGACACCAGTCGGTTTTGGTGACCTTGACCCCATTTTCAAGGTCACAGCAGGCAAATCTGCTTTTAGAGTTAGAAAACGGTGTTGCCGCAATATCTCAACAACTAAACACTGGATTGTCTTCATATTTGGAACTATAGTGTATATACAGACTCCGCAGACACCAGTCGGTTTTGGTGACCTTGATCCCATTTTCAAGGTCACAGCAGGCAAATCTGCTTTTAGAGTTGGAAAACGGTGTTGCCGCGATATCTCAAGAACTAAACCTCTCAATTGTCTTCATATTTGGAACTATGGTGTATATACAGACACCGCAGACACCAGTCGGTTTTGGTGACCTTGACCCCATTTTCAAGGTCACAGCAGGCAAATCTGCTTTTAGAGTTAGAAAACGGTGTTGCCGCGATATCTCAAGAACTAATCGCTGGATTGTCTTCATATTTGGAACTATAGTGTATATACAGACACCGCATACACCTGTCAGATTTGGTGACCTTGACCCCATTTTCAAGGTCACAGCAGGCAAATCTGTTTTTGGAGTTGGAAAACGGTGTTGCCACAATATCTCAAGAACTAATCGCTGGATTGTCTTCATATTTGGAACTATAGTGTATATGGCGGGGGATATTTCGTCACTCTGTGACAAATACTTGTTTATCAACACAATAACGAGCTAATTTACTTTCCGAGTCAAGCCTATATCTATAACCGTTATATACATCTACAACATTATTTCACTTTTGTTAAATAACAAAATGCTTACTCATTTTTGGAAAAACCTGATCGAGTGATGAATAGATGAGTGAAAACATATTGGTTTCCTAGTGAATAATGTAATATGTCATCATTATTTTCTGCAACCATGGTCAGATATTGATACTGACACCTTGAAACAAACGAGGGTATGAAACTTGCTATACAGATCAGTCTAATAGTGAACTGGTGCCTTTTGATTATTTGGGATATAGAAAAATACAGGACATCATTATTATTTTTCAACAATAATTGGCAGATATATCAAACACATCCTGAGGTGGTGACTTTTGCAAGTTATGGATTTTTGGCGTTTTTTTGGTTTTTTTAATTCCATGGAAACAAAATGCACTTAGTTTCATAAGGGTGTGGATGTCTTTTCCGGAGCACAACTAAAAAAACCTTCAATATCTTTCAACATAACATGGCAGATGTATATAACAGATCCTGAAGTGGTGCCTTTTGCTACTTGCTGATTTTATGCATTTATATTTTCTCGATTTCCATGGAAACAATTTAGACTTAGTCTCAAAATTATTTTTTCCATTTCCATGGCAACATTTTTACTTTGACTCAGTTCATGGTGGTGTTTGTCTCTAAAACTAATAAGTGTTCCTTCATGACACTTTGCACACATAAATTCCAGGTTGTCAAATGGTTCCTTTTGCTATCTAAGGGTGTTTAGAATTTATTTATTTTTGTATTTCCATGGCAACAAGTTTGACTTTGACTCTGTTCATAGTGATGTTTTTGTCTGGACCATATCTCTAAAACTATAATCATGATAATAGGTACTCTTTCTTGTAACTTTGCACACACAAATGCCAGGTTGTCAACAGGTACATTTTGCTTTTTAGAGATTTTTTAACGTTTTTTCCCATTTCCATGGCAACAAGTTTGACTTTGAGTCTGTTCTTATTGGTGTGAGCTTGACATAGAAATACAAAGTTTCAAATCCCAATTCCATGATGTTGTTTTGATTGCTCAATAACTACTCTTGTATACAGAAACTTACTTTTACGGATACATATACTTTTCACCTTAAGTTGATAATGTTTTATTCACTACAAACACATGTGTCCATTAATAATCATTACGTAATGTGTTGATCATCTGCAATGAATGTCTGTATAATGTTCTTTCTTAGACCGTGGGATAGGGATCTTGGACCAACATAACAGCAGTAC